TGCCCCCTGACCCCCCCAGGGGTTGAAGGGGGCGTGGGGGGGTTGGCACAAATGAGGGAGTGTTGAGCGTGCGCATGTGCGTGTCTGCACACGTGGGTGTGAGTGCGTGTGTGCGCATGCATGTTCCCGGCTGTGCACACGCGTGCCTGCATGGAAGCGTCTGACTGCATGTGTGTGCGTGTATGGGCACGATTGTGTGTGCAGGCACATGGGTGTATGTGCGTGATGGTGAGTGCACATTTGTGTGTGCAAGTATGCATAAGTGTGTACGGACACAAGCTTGTGTGCAGGCACGCGTGTGACAACTGCACATATGCGTGTGTGCGCGGGTGTGTATATGCACGTGTGTACAGACATGTCTGTGGACACACGTGTGCCAAGAGCATCTGTGCGTATGCATATGCACGTGCAGGTGTGGATACGAGTGTGTGCTAGGACATGTGCGACCTGCATGCGTGTGTGCACGAGTCTGTGCGCGCATGAGTGTGTGGGCACGTGTGTGTGTGTGTGTGTGTGTGTGAATACATGCATGTCTGGGCATACACGTATGTGTGCGGGCAAGTGTGTCCGCGTGCACGTGTGTGTGCATGTGTCTACACGTGTGTACATGTGGGGGAAGACTCCGGATTGGGCACCTAGAGGGCGGGAGAGGGGCGGGGTTAAACTGGATGAAGCCCCCGCTCGAATCTGCCGATCCCGACCCTATGCTCAAAAAAAAATCCCCGCTCCCTCCTTGCGGGCCGAGGGGAGCGGCTGCCTCTCGCGGGGGAAGGGGGCGCGGGCAGGGGGCGCTTTTTTGGGTGGCGCGGCGGTGCGGAATCAGCGGATACCAATCCACACCGCGCTCCGTCTTTCCCCTCCCAAGATGGCGGCGCAGGGGGCGGAAGCGGCTCCCTTCAGCACTTCCGGCGCGGTTCCCCTGCCTTTCCCAAGATGGCAGAGCAGGGCGGAAGCGGCTCCTTTCAGCACTTCCGGTTCCCTATCCCAACAGCGGGAGAGAGGGGAAGCTGCTCGCTCTGTCGTCACTTCCGGCGCGCCTCCCCTGCCTTTCCCAAGATGGCGGCGCCCAGGGCAGCCGCGCGCGGCGGGGCGGCCCCGGCCTCGGGCTT